TTTAAATTTGAAACAAATAGATGTTTAAGAAAAATGTATATGCTTTAGTGCTCTAAAATATGTCCACGATGTAAAGGTCAGAGCCATTATCATTCAGTCATCAGGCTTAATGTTTGTAGTTTTGCAAAAACTAGAGAAAATGTTCGAAATGACCGTGTTGATGCCTATCTCTTCGTAATGTGCATTTGCAAAGATCCCTCAACATGCCATTTGATAAGTTTGGATAAGAGTTTTTGCCTATCGTTTATTATCTCTATGATGCCCTCCATATAACATTCTTTGTCTTATGATATTTTGGAGAAGGGCTAAGCCTAGCGACGTTGTCAGGTTACTTCTGCCAAAGTAACCTTTTGATTTTGCAGCAGTCGAAATTAAATGCACAGTGCTCATACATTTCTACAGTTTTTTGATTTTCTGCTTTAGAGGTTTGAGCAGGATAAGGCAGGGCCTTTCATAGAGAAAGGAGTTGTGAAAGGTGTGAATAAAATGAAATATACCCTTGTTACCTTCCTCTGCTGGGTCACTTTAGTTTGCTCGTATTTCCCAAGAACTGAAGATTTATGACTTTGAAGGAGAGGTCTTGCATTACAAGGAGGGCAAGACGAGGTGGGAGGTGGGAGGAAAAGCGGGAGAGGAGGAGGGAGGGAGTTGGGAGGGAGGAGGTTCTTCTAAAGATGCTTTTTATGCTTTGGCTAACTACACAACGAAGGAGCTGAGGCCAGGTTTTTACCCAATTCATAAGAATTCTTATAATTATTGAATTTATTTTGAAATTAAATTTCATGCACTAGAGCCAAGATTTTCGAAAAGTTGTGCTCAGATCCATATATCATCACTCTGTTTTAGGCTACGAATTACATGGCATCGAAAATGTGCCAGACAACGGGTCTGCCCTCTTCATCTACTATCACGGGTGTCTGCCGTTAGATGTCTATTACCTCATCGCTAAACTCGTACTTCACAAAAATCGTTCACTTCATTGTGTTGGGGACAAATTCATATTCAAAATTCCAGGTAGGCTTGATTTTTTTTTCAGATATTAGTTCATTCTAAAAGCAGGTGGTCATTCACAGGTTGGAGTGCGATATGCAAAGTATTTTCAATAACCGCTGGAACAGTTGAAGAATGTACTAATCAATTAAGAGAGGGCAATCTCTTATGTATAGCTCCTGGAGGTTTATTCATTTTGCAACATCCTAATATTGAGCATATCAAAAAATGGACTTAGGTGTCCGTGAGGCGCTATTCTCTGACCCGAACGTATATGATATGTTATGGGGCAAGCGGCTAGGGTTTGCCCGAGTTGTGATCAACGCAAGAACGGTAAGATCCACCTGTTTTTGCTTGTGATCGGTATTATTTTAATGTACCTCCTTTTTAAGCCTGTGATACCTATGTTCACGGAAAACTGTCGTGAATCATTCCGTACACCAGTTTGGGGTCGAAGCTTTTTCCGATGGGTCTATGAGAAGACGAAAATGCCGTTGTGTCCTGTTTATGGGGGTTTTCCAGTAAAAATGATCACGCATCTTGGCAAACCCATGGTGTTTGACTATGATAATGTCACGCCTGAAGAGGTAGGTCTGGTTGTCGGGATAAGTTCATGCGTTTCTCTTAAGCCCATAAGTGGAATTTTTGACTCATATATCT